AAGTGGTTGCCTTACAGCTTTCCCAGCAGACTATTATTTTTCTTGAATGGTCTCTTGACGTACGACCGCGCTCATTCGACGGTCTGTGTATATGCCATCCACGGCATCTACAAAGTTGAGCGCGTGATCAAATGTACTATGTACGAAACCATCACCTAAGTTTCCGTGCTTGTGCCGTAATGGTACACGTTTCGGTTGCTTACAACCTCCCGAGCAACCCTTTTTTGTGCCATCTTCAATCCCACCGCCTAGCTGATAGTTTCGCATTTGCTATCCTCGCCCAGATTTCTGCTTTATAATGTACGTTTCGTCAAGGTGCAATCATGATTGCCATAATTCTCTACAAAGTGAGGAGCTGATTCCAGTCAGAGACTGATTCACGAAATATCCCACACGAATGTTTTTTTCTTCTGAGAATCCCATTCAGAGTCTGAATCCTATTATTGATGAACAAATAGGAGGCTAAGGGAAAACTTTAGGGTGCCTTTCAGACTTCCAAGAAATGAATTTTTTGAGAAAGTTATCTTTCGTTATTTTGTGGCGCCGACAAGATGAAGGGTTGAATCCGAATTTCAAACAAACGACATTCCCTAACCTCACATTGTCACAGGTCACATTTTGCAGCTAGTTGAAATTATTATATATTAGGTCATCCCACTCAAAAAAAAGAGGGAGGTTCCAATCATTTAAAAGGAAGATGAAAAAGGTAAAAAAGGTAGCATTTGGCCTCGAATTGAGTAGATAACTTCCGCATCAATGACCCGCTGTCGAAAGCGTTTGAACCAGTGGTACTATCGGTTTTTTTCAACAAGTGCAAGTGAACTGCTGTTTATGCCAATCTCGGCGAATGACAAAACTCCGACTGACTAGTTGAAACAGTAGAAACAGTTAAAATCGCACGGCTTTTTGCTGGGCGAATGAGGCAACTGAATCCAGGTCTCAGTATTGTTTGTGTCCCAGCACTGCCCTACAGTACAGTTACTCGGGGTCTGGCACTATGACGAGCAACGGTGGCCTTCTTGTAGTTGTGTGGTACCATCCATTTGTCGATCTGATTGTCCGAGGAACAGGCAATATACACCGACAGCAGCGATTCTGTTCTCTATACGGAGCCGCTGGAAAGGACAGGAATCCTTCGCTATGATGATCATCCACCCATGATCATTGGACCCAGGTAACTCTCATGGCAGGATTCAGGCGACTTCCCATCTGCATCTATACAAAATTGACGCTTGTGAGTTTTGTCTCAGAGTTTTTGAGACCACCCACATTGCATCTGCGGCCGGTCTGGCACAAGATAAATTTGTCGCACTCTATCACAATTTAGTATTACGCCCGATTCGAAAATCCGGCACTGATCTTGACCACTCAGGCCTTTTTTAATTTCTCGAGAGCTTCTTCTGTGGTTAGGTTTGCCAAGTTTCAGAGATACACAGCTGAGGTTCTAGCTTCCAAATGGTAAAGCAGCTCGCTGCCCGGTTATCTTTGCTTCCCTGCCATTCCTATTTTTTCCACATTTTTGAACGTGATG